ACTTACTTCGCCCAAGACGACAACCCCAAGTTCGACCTCGTTCGAACACAAGTCAAACTGACTTCGCCCGAGATGGAGATTCTAAGTTTGATCCCGCTCGAATACGTATGAAGAATTTGACTTCGCCTACGTTGAATGATTCCACCTAAGTCAGCAAATCGGAAGTCAACCTCGCCCAAAACTAAAAGATATGTAACGAGGTAAAGGAGAATCAAAAGATACACAAAGGCGAAATAACTGTTTTATTTTAAATATACGTGCACAACAGCCGCACCTTACAAAAGACCAAAACAGGCCAAAAAAAAAAGAAGGCGAAAATCATCAAAATAAAAGAGTACTAAAGCTGTAGCAACTTTTCACTCGGTGTCATCACCGCCGTTCTCCCCATCGTTATCTTCAGGAAATCCCTCCTCAACATCAGCGTCCTCGCCAACCTCTGGTGTCGTAGGGTCGAAGCCGCAATTGACACGAGCCTCGCGTGTCTTCGCTCGAGCTTCTTCAAAAGCAGCCTCGGAAACACTGCCCGCTCCCATAAACCCTTGTATATGTTTCGTTGGGCCTCAGCATGGACCCACAGCTCATGCAAATGACAAGGAACAACGGCGGAAGCAGACTCAACTTGAGCCAGCAATTGCACCTTTTCGGCCTCGAGGGTCACGACTCGGTCTCCCAAGTTTGAGGCTTCCCGATCAATTTTGCGGATGCGTTCTTCGAGCCTCGCCTCCCTCAGTGTGGCCATTGCCCTCTCAAACTCCTGCTCAGATTCGAGGACGCGGATAGTGTCCTCCAGCACTGCCGCTCTCGCCAAAGCCGACGCCCGAGCACTCTCAGCATTTTCTAGCTCGGCCACTTTTCTCTGCAGCTCGGCTAACTTCCCCATCCATTCTGCACTCAAAGCTTCAACTCTGGCGGCACTCTGATCGAGTTCGGCTTGCAACGACAGCACCTTCACCTGAAGATGCTCGCACTCTGCAGCGACCCCCTTCCCAACTCAAGATCTTCGTCCTTGGCACGGAGCAGCTCCTCGAGCTCAATACATCTGCGAATGGACTGCATCAACTCCTGATCCATTTTCTCCAACTCCTCTCCGAGGGATTGGGTGCCAGTACCCGCCCTGAGCCGCTCATGCGTCTCATGGCATTTGTTGCGATATCGCCGATACTTTTCAAGCATCATCAAAAAAATCTTGGCCCGAGTCTCGACCCTGCGAGCACTCTCGATCTCCAGCATGTAAGAGTGAAAGCAAAGAAAAGAGTCGATAAAGGCCAAGGCCACACAAAAAAGGGGGGGGGGAACAAACAAGGTAGAGAAACTTACCCTTAGGCCCATCGCGGCCACGCCACGTGACAATTCGGCGTCGCTGACGTCCTGAAGAGCTCCGCTTTCTGCGGTAGAGCATAGAAGGTCGAACAGCGGCACAAAATCCACCGTGTTTTACAGAAGATTAAGGTACGATAGAATTTTGAGTATTCGGGAAAGACCTCCTGCTCTTACCACAGTTCGGGTAAAGCCTTTCTCGAACATCCTAACATCATCAGGATCGAGGTTGGATTCAGACTCGTAATCATCAACCGCGATGCCTTTTCCCCTCTCTTTCGCCGAAGAAGAAGTGCGGTTCGGCCGGGATGACGAAGGGCCGCCCAAGACAGCAACAGCAGCATCGGGACTCCGTCTCTCCGCCACGTCAGTCTATTGATCGCTCGCAATGGGCGTAGCCTCAGCGGCCGAGTTAGCACCACCGTCAATTTCGGGCACCGCCAAGGGAAGGTCGCCCCTCAAAGATGTTTCGGCTTGAGGAATCACTTCCAACGCTACACGTCTTCTCTTTGACGGGGCCTCTCCACTACCAGCATGGGAAGACTCGCCTGTTGAGCGGACAGTAGAAACCAGAGTCTCAGGTTGAGGAATAGCCCCCGCACACACAGCCCCGGCCGCAGGTGCATATTGGGTAGTGGCTCTCGATGCAGACAGGATAGCGGCCCTCGGCGCAGGCCAGGCAGGGGGCGCCGGTTGACGGACTGCAAGCGGAGGAGCCCTCGTCCTTCGCGCTCCCTGCCAACAAAGAAAAACGGTCATATAATGACAAGATCGAACCATAAGGCAAAGAAAGTGGGCCGACTCACTAGTGAGAAGCTTACGCCCATATTTCTCGTGGAAGGACGCTCACTCACAATTACCCCTTGAATGGGGAAGAATTGCGTTCACCCACTCACAGATATCATCAACTGGCGTGGGAGGTAACTCTCGGCTACAAAAACAAAAACAAGTTCTTACCAATATCACCTAGAGAAGAATGATCGACGACCGCCTTGAGAGGAATCACAAAATAAACAAAGGAAAACTTATGAGCAAAGTTCCACGTCTCAGGGAACCCTGTCGAGTCTGCCACAAGGTGCTTTGTCCACACATATAAATAGCTTTCCCAGAAACGGCGATTAGCCTTATCGTCCATTTTCACCACCAAACTCTTAGTTCCTCGATGGCGCATGTGGATCATCGTGTCCCGAAGAAATTGAGGAGCAAAAATATGAAGCATGTGTCCCAAAGTAATCCCTCTACTGGCGAGCTCCGCATACTTGGTGAGCATGAGGAAGAGCTTGTATGCGTATGGTAAGAGCTGAGTCGGGCACACCTCATAGAAGCGGAAGAAGTCTACCACTAGAGAGGGGAGAGGAAGTGTATATCCGACAACAAAAGGATACGCGTAAAATGCACAGAACCCCGGGCGATTCAAATGTACAATGTCCGTCCCCGCCGTCGGTACCATTTCGATATGATTTGGAATTCCCCACTTAGCCTTGAGCGCCGTAATCGTCGCTTCATCCATGGTGGAAGGGACAGGTGCCAGTTCGTCTCCGGCAGGGCTGTTAAAGTCAGTCCATAATTTCCCCGGACGGGGTAGTATCTCAGCCACTATCGGAAATCCCTCATCTTCCGTCACCTCCATTCCCTCTCCAAGAAGGGGTGCATCATTCTCCGGCGCCGGAACTTCGACGAATCTGTCAGTCTGGGAAGAAGTACTAGCCATTTGTCTGGCTCGATCGGAATAAACAAGAGTGATGAAGAAATAGAGAGGGTGATCACGTCAAATTTTGACAAAAGCAGAAATGTGAAATACTGAAGAAGGTGGAAGTTTGCAAAATTTCTCAGGTAAATCGAAAAGTGTAACAATCGAATGGTGGTTTCCCTTTATTTATAGAAACATAAATGCCCTGAGTGGGAAACCCAAGAGCCTCCAAAAAGCTAAAAGGGCATAGGAAACGATATGGTGCCTGGGAAACGTGCGATATAATGACGCATAACGGGCAGTCATGGCACCCTGAATCAATGTGATGATCCATCTCCGAACTGAAGTAACGGTCTGGTAAAGCCCATAAAACATCACTTCGCCACCTCACCATGAGGAACCCGTCCTCGCATAATGACCATCTTTCTCCTAATTCTTGGATCCACAGGGTCCGCCTATTGAGCTCGCCAAAAGACGACCCCAACGGGTGGAGGGACTAACTGTATGAGTCAAAATTTGACCACCAGACGGTTATCATTAAAGGGGATGGTAAGAGGTCGACCCAGCCACGGTCGTGCCCACGAGTCGTAATGGCAATGAGTACCACGGTCCTTGTCGAGATCAAGCCGTTAGAAAGCTTACATCGCAGAACAAGTGTAATGTTTGGGCAAGTAATGAAGGACCCAGTCATGAGAAAGCGCACCGGTCAAAGACCATTGGATAAAAGGGAAAATTGTTAGTATATATAGAAAGGCAGGAGACCATTACTAGGGGCTCTAAATCCAGATCTGGCTACAACATTTGATAGTCATCGTTACGGAACCAACAAGGGCGGATCTCTTAGTTATCAACAGCTTTCTCTCTTTTCCCTCTGTGCTCTTACGATTATGATGCAAACCCATCATAGATGTAAGCTTATCATTTCCATTTGATGTATGATAATCATCTTAAGAAATATTAAATCAGCTTGTTCTTCTCCGATTTTTGTACTCAATATGTTTTGATCTAGACTTAATTATGTTTGGCTAAGATTTACCTTCTATCTCTCTATTAATTAGTTTAACAAAAGGGTTTAATAATTTTTTGGTTAAACAATAACATATTAGATTATGTGAAGTATCTTATCTAACAGTTTAGATTAGGATAAATGTGACACATTAATTTTTTTATATAACAACGATAACCATGTTAAAAAGTTGAAAAATATTTGGTTCGAATAATTTGTCTCGTATGATAAAAAAGAAAATTTTAGGGGAGGAATATTAATGGAATATAGTTATATAGACATAGATTGAGATGAGTCTAGTTGGCAAAGTGGAGCTGAAATAAAATTTAAATGGGAACACATATTTCTTTAAGACTTTTAACTCTCGTTAGCCATAGATTTTTGCAACTTTTTTTTTAAATTCTTTTTGAAAATATCATTTGTTGATAGAATATGATTAGTTTTTGATAAAATTTTGTTTTTTTTTTTCAAGTTTCCAAAATCTGGTTTAGGGCAATTTTAGAGTGAAATTATTTTGACAAGATTGTAAATGAGATCAGCTAAGTGGATCTCAACCTCAGCTCCAATGACTGACTCTGGAAGCTTTTGGAGAGTGCCTGTGAGAGAGAGGAAGAAGACGAAAGCGGAGGAGAAATACTTTGATGAAGAATGAAGCTCAATTGTATTGAATCTGTATAGTATCATATATACACACGCAGAGAGACTAACTGAAGAGCTGACAGCTGTACACCTTGACAACTAACTACTGCCAGATATATCCAAACTAACTAACTAACTCTACCATGAACTAATATACAAAAATGAACACAAAATGAATAAATACAATCTCAATACCTCCCGCGCCCCCCCCCCCCCCCAAGTTGGAGGTAGGGAAAGCACAGTCAACTTGCGCAAAACAGTAAAGTATTTGATGCCTGTGAGTGCCTTGGTAAGAATGTCTACAAGCTGGTCATTGGTGGAAATATAATGGAAGGAAACCAGACCTTCCTACAGCTGCTTTCGAACAAAGTGGCAATCTACTTCGATGTGCTTGGTTCGTTCATGAAATACTGGGTTCCTTGCTATGTGTAAAGCTGACTCACTATCACAAAACACTCTAGTAGGAGCAGGAGAGGGGACTGTCAATTCATCAAGTAATCTTTTCAACCAAACTAACTCCCTAATCACTTTTCTCAAAGATCTGCATTCAGCTTCTGCTGAAGATAATGAAACTGTCTCTTGTTTCTTGGATTTCCAGCTGAGAGGACTACTTCCCAACATTACAATATAACCACTAACAGATTTTATTAAGTCCAGGCAAGCAGCCCAGTCAGAATTAAAATAGGCTTTGATGGAGATCATTGGGCATAAACACACCCAAAGTAGGATCACCTTTGAGATATCTCAACAAATGGAAAGCATCTTTCAAATGGGGTTCCCTAGGATTCTGCATAATCTGGCTGAGATGTTGCACACTAAAAGCAATATCCAGCCTTCTCTTTGTGAGAAAGTTCAGCTTTCCAACTAGCTTTCTGTAGTAGGTAGGGTCTGTAAAAGGCATCCCCTCTTTCGCTCTTAGTTTTACATTAAGATCAAAAGGTGAAGTGAGAGCACTGTACTCCAGGTAGTCATACTCCTTTAGTAAGTCAAGAACAAACTTCCTTTGTGAGATAATAACACCACCTGCCTTGTACAAAACCTCCAGGCCTAAAAAATAGTGCAACTTACCCAAGTCCTTGATCCTAAATCTATTGTGTAGGAAGGTCTTCAGTTGGTCCATTTCTGATTGGTCTGTCCTTGTAAGTAGAACATCATCAACATAGACTGCTACATATACAACTGAGTCCCCTTTTCACTTGGAAAACAATAAGTAGTCATTCATAGAATGTTCATATCCCCTTGAATATAATGTCTCAGTTAATTTTTCATGCCACTGTCTGCTTGCATATTTCAAACCATAGAGAGATTTATTCAATTTACAGACCAAACTTTGGTTGTCCACCATAAGTCCTGGTGGGACTTCCATGTAAACCTACCATGCAAGCCAGGAAGGAATGCATTATTTACATCCAATTGGAAGATATTCCATCTACTCTTTACTGCAACTGCAATAAATGTTCTAACTGTAGTCATTTTCACCATTGGGTAAAATATTTTTGTGTAGTACACTCCTACTTGTTGTGTATAGCCTTTCACTACTAACCTAGCTTTGAACCTTTCAATGGTTCCATCTTCCTTGTGCTTCACTTTGTAAACCCATCTTCATGTTATTTCCTTCTTTCCAGGAGGTAGAGGTACCAGGTCCCATGTATTATTGGCATAAAGAGCTTTAAATTCCTAAACCATAACTGCTTGCCAAGCAGGATTGGTAGCAGATTCCTCAAATGAAGATAGTTCACTATCATTGCATATGCTACTTACCAAAGATTGACTGTCATGAACCAAGGTACTAGCTGAAATGTGATGATATTTAGAGAACAAGGCATTCAGGGAGAAATCAATATGGTTATGTCTATATGTATGTTCATGAGGAGTTGGTTTAGGGACATAATGTATGTAATCATTCAAGTATATGGGTATTTTGTGTTCTCTCAGTGACTTTCTTAAATTTGGAGTTGGATTAGGTGTGTGATGTGTTGGAGGTGAATCAGTGGTGTGTGGGAAATATACATTCTGTGATGATGGTGAGTCTGCATTGCTTGGTGTAGGTGAAGGAGGTAAAGGATCAGGAGAGGAGCTGACAGAGGAAGGTGACACTATATTGAATGTAGTACCTCCATTCCTTTGATCACTCATTGTACTTTCTGAAGATGACACTATATTAGTGTCAGTCATGGGACTAATAGAAAGTGGATGAAGAGTTCAAGGGAAAAAAGAAATTCAAAACTAATATTAAAAGGGAAAATAGACTCATAAAATACTACATCCTTGGAAATATGGATTTTCTTGGTAGCCAAATTCAGCACTTTGTAGCATTTCGTGCCAAAATGATATCCTATAAAAATGTGTGAAGTTTTCCATAGTTAAAACTTGTCTCTATGGACTTTTGGTATTCTTAGGAAGCATAAGCATCCAAAGCTTCATAACTGAGAGTAATATGGCCTTTTATTGTATAAGACTTCAAAAAAAGATTTGTTCTTGAGATATGTGGTAGGTAATCTATTTATAATATAGGTGGCTGTTAATATGGATTCCCCTAGTACTTCAAAGGCAATTTAGACTAAAACATTAAGGCTCTACTGTCATGACCTCAACCCCGGTCGTGATGGCGCCCAACACATTGCTAGGCAAGCCCGACCAATTATGAATCATAACCCCTCTCTTATAGAGTTCATTACTTATTTAACAGAATTTAAATACCAAATTAACACAATAGGAGTCTGAAACTGTAGATAAAATGTGCGGAAGTCATAATAACATCACTACATAGCCCACCGATCCGGTGTCACAAGTCAAGAGCCTCTATTATAAGTCTTTAAACAACCTAAAACAGAGATAATCTAAGAATACTGGAAATAAAGAAGATAGGAGGAGAAATCGGGTCTGCGGACGCCATGCAGCTACCTCGATGACTCCGGTGAATGATGAACAGCAGGAAAAACTGTCTATGCCTCGAGAACACCTGGATCTGCACACAAGGTGCAGGGAGTAATGTGAGTACTCCGACCCAGTGAGTAATAATCATAAATAATGCCTGACAGTAAGAAAACACGTAAAGGCACTAAGCAGTTCTATATCAAAGCAGTAAATCAACTTAAAGCAGCAAAATAGTGAAGAAGTCAAGTGAAATCTCTTTAGATCAGGTAAAACAGGTAGTTTATCTGGTATTTAACAAGTATAAATCCATTCCTCGACACAGTAACCATATATCTCTCACAATAACCGAAATCAAAATAACCGATGCGACGTGTAGCCCGATCCGTACATCGCTGTGGTGCACAGCCCGATCCATATAAATAGTCGACTGCGCTCACTGGGGGTGTGCAGACTCCGGGAGGGGCTCCTACAGCCCAAGCGCTATATTGATGTGGCGCGCAGCCCGATCCACATATATATATCTGTGCGGCGTGCAGTCCGATCCATATAAGTATTTGCTGCGGCGTGCAGCCCGATCCATAATATATATATATATATATATATATATATATATATATAGGTTCTAAACCCCTCTCAGTCATTATAATCACAGCCTCTCGGGCACAATAATATAAGGTAGGGATCTCAGCCCACATATTTCTTTCATTTAGGATTAACATTTCAAAAACCGGTTCATATTGTTTTAAACAGTTTAGAAACATGACTGAGGATATGGTTTTTAACAAGTAAAGTGAGGAAAATCAGTCATAATGCCCCCTAAGGGTTCTACAAGTCGGCACAAGGCCCCAAACATGGCAACTAGCCCAAATCATAATGATAATTATTAAATCTCAGTCAAAAATGCGGTGAAATCATCAATCGGGACGGACCAAGTCACAATCCCCAGTAGTAATGGACCTCACGCTCATCATACAGCGTGTGTCTCACCTCAACATAGCACTACGTTGTGCAAATCCGGGGTTTCAAACCCTCAGGACATCATTTACAATCATTACTCACCTCAAACCGGCCAAAGCTCTAGCTCGCTATGCCCTTGCCTCTCAAATCGGCCTCCTCGCGCGTCGAATCTGACCAAAACCAGAGCGAATACGTCACAATATGCTAAGGGAACAAAGCCCAAGCGAAAACAATCGAAAAATATCAAAAATCTCGAAATTAGCAAAACCCGAACCCCGGGCCCACTTCTCGAAACTCAGAAATTTTTACATCAACGGGTTCCTTATCTCGCCACGAGTCCATACATATTACAACAAAAACTNGGGCCATCTCTTTAGACCTCTTCAATTAAGACCAAATAAAATTAACCTCAAAATCTGACCAAAACCAGAGCGAATACGTCACAATATGCTAAGGGAACAAAGTCCCAAGCGAAAACAATCGAAAAATATCAAAAATCTCGAAATTAGCAAAACCCGAGCTCTGGGCCTACTTCTCGAAACTTAGAAATCTTCATATCATTAGACTCCTTATCTCCCCACGAGTTTATACATATCAAAAACACTAGAATCGGAGTTCAATTAGCCCTTCAAATCCTTAATTTATACTCTCTTAAGTTCAAGCCCTAAACCACTACTTTTGTCCATTAGTTCCTTAAATTTTCAGTCCTAATTCATGAAATAACACCATAGAATCGTGTTTTAGGTCCAAAAATCCCTACCTTATCAAAGCTCCTTGAAGTCCCTCTTCAAATCGCCCACAATTCTCCAAGTCCGAAGTTAGAAATGAAAAACCCTTCAAAATTCGCGAAGAAGACCCATTTAAACATTCTGCCCAGACAAAACCGCATTTGCGGCTCAAAATCCGCTTCTGTGGTATCGCCTCTGCGGTTAATATTCCGCATCTGCGGAACTTCATTAAGTCCCGCCTGGCCGCATCTGCGGTCCAATAGCCGCATCTGCGGCTCCGCAGGTGCGGCTCCCTATTCGCATCTGCGATCCCAGCCTATCCTTGCCTTTTCCGCTTTTGCGACCTACACCCCGCATCTGCGATACCGCACCTGCGGTTCCCAAGCCGCAGGTGCAAAAATACTAGAAACAGCAGAAATCTGAAATTGCACAAGTCCAAAATTATTCCCGTTAGCCATCCGAAATTACCCCGAGGCTCCCGGGACCTCAACCAAAAGCACCAACACATCCCAAAATATCATTCAAACTTGTTCCAATCCTCAAAACACCTCAAACAACACCAAAACCATCAAATTACATCGAATTCAAGCCTAAGTTCTTCTAAAACTTCCGAAACACGCTTTTGATCAAAAACCCAACCAAACCACGTCCAAATGACCTGAAATTTTGCACACACATCCCAAATCACACAACGAAGCTACAGCAACTCTCGGAATCCCATTCCGACCCTCGGATCAAAATCCCACCTATCAACCGGAAATCGCCAAAATACTAACTTCGCCAATTCAAGCCTAATTCTACACCGGAACTCCAAAACCACTTCCGATCACACTCCTAAGTCACAAATCACCTCCCGAAGCTAACCGAACCATCGGAATTCACATCCGAGCCCTCTAACTCATAAGTCAACATCCGGTTGAGTTTTCCAACTTAAGCCTTCTTAAAAGAGACTAAGTATCTCATTTCCTTACCAAATCCACTCCAACCACAAACCAATCAACTCGATCACATAAAACACGGATAACGAAGCATAAGGAAGCAAAAATGGGAGAAACGGAGCGGTAAATCATGAGACGACTTGTCGGGTCGTCACATCTAGCTATTTCAAGAAGGTATTTGTGCTTCCTTTCCACCACTCTTTGTTGTGGTGTATAGGGGCGAGTCTTTTGGTGAAAAATCCTTTTTGATTAAAAAAATTGGGTGGCTTCAGTATCAGTAAACTCCAGTCCATTATCAGATATTAAGGACTTGATGGATGTCTTGAATTGGTTTTCAACTAAGGAAATAAAAGCTTTGCTAGTATGGAGGGCATTGCTTTTACATGTTAGCAGGGGAATCCAAGTGGACCTTTTAAAGTCATAACCCATATTAATGAAGTATTTGTATCTATCATGTGTACATTCATGGTAAGAACCCCACAAATCCACATGCAAGAGTTCAAAGATTTTGCTGGAAGTACTGATTCTTTAAGGAGAGGGGAGCCTGGCTTGTCAAGCCATATGACAAATTGAATAAACAAAGGGTTGCTTAAGGGAGAATGAAGCTGGTATGGAGGATA